CAGTCTGGCGAAGTCATTGTGCAGAACTATAATGCGATGCTCACCATGGCGAGTCTCGCTGACGTCGCCCACGGCATTTTCATGCTGCAGAACGATGCCGCGAACCTGATCTGCCAGAAGCTGCTGCGCATCCCACACCCTTCATTCGACGCAATGAACGGAGTTCTTGCAGCTCATTTGGCGTCTTCTTTTCTGGCGGTGGACGATGGCTCAGCGTGTCGATCGGGCAGGACGCTTGACCCTTTGCGTGAAATCTGCGAGAGACTATGCCAACATCCGGTACACAACTTGCATGAAATCTGCCCACTAATGAGTGCTGTATAGTTCTTATATGCTCAAATTTGCTGTTTTTGGATGCATCAGGCGTACAAGCTTTTAGATATCAAGATGGTGCCGCTGATGCCTCACCGATCGAAGAAATTCAGCACACACTCCTGGACAGGCATCGTGAAGCATTTACACCAGGTTTGCTGTCCTATTTGTTTTACTATCGTTGTCTGATGTGCAGCCATGGTATCTGAATTATATGCGAGCTAAACGTTTTGCTCGTGCTGCCAGATGCAAGTTGCCAACGCGGCATCTGAAGAAGGTATCGACTGGGATATTTCTTTAACAACCGACCACGGGAGAACTTTAAACCGGTCAGTCGGTAGCATGCTGATTTTACGGGGCAAAAACTCGATACAAGCTGATCCACTCACCTTCTCGGACCCGCGGATGTATGCTCCATGGAATTCGGATCCATTTCGGTGCTATTCTTCCAACTCGAACTTCAGCGCCTACGACAAAACAGGGACTCTGATCAGGTACTGTTTGCAGGATACGTGGTGCCCGTGGAAATGCTTCTAATTCTTCATATTGCGCTCGAAATGTAGCAATTCGAAAGCTATGCTGCAGACTCTAGCGATCACAATGGATAAGGCCTACGATATGTTCTCACACGGCGCGTATCTGCACCAATATGAACGCTTCGGCGTTGACCGCGACTTTTTCCAAGAAGCTTTCCTGCGAATCGATCAAATTACACAGAACTACTCCTCGCTCTGAAATGGCATCGAGACGCTGACCAAGCACGTTGTTACCGGTAAGGTTCTTGATGTCTTGTACTTATGTCTACGAAGCTATTTGAATTGACCAAAGCTTTTTTGTCGATACAGAACATGCAAGTGTCTCGAAAACCAAGAAGGAGAGATCACAAAAACAAGGAAGTAAAAACTCCTGGTTATTCTTCATTTTTACGAGGACGCTTCTCATTTGTACGTGCCTACGTTGTATGTATTTGCTGGAACGGACTATCAATACTTGACTCACCAGGGTCGCTTTTGCAGGCCTCTTGGACAACACAGACATGGTGTGGGGCTCACGGCTCCAGAACGGACATCATTTCGAGTGGCTCAAATGTCTCCAAAAGTGCGATGACGCTGTCATCCAGTTCCAGCTCGCCTTCTTGCGAAACAAACTGACCGTGGCTGTCGATGTATTCACCCTCGTGCTTTATGGCCTGGTTGACGCCGGGCATATGTGACGGCGCTGCGGCGGACGGGTTGTGCACTTGCTTCGTTCCATACGCGGGGCGCGGATGGTCGCTTGTGACAAGGACTTCACTCTCGGACTTTTTTGTGGGGCTGGCCGCGGCCTCCGCTTTCCGCCTCCGCGCGATCTTCTCACGGTATTTTTGAGCATGCGTCATGGTCTGGCGCGTGGTTCGAGTTCCAATATGTGCAGCGATAGTTTTCCACGGACCCGACGGGTAACATTCGAGTGCTTCCAAGAACAGCTCGTGCTCTTCGAGAGTCCAGGGCGTACCAGCGCGCTTGGTAGGTAGTGAACGGGCTTGGTCCTGGTTGGGTGCCAGTCGAATGAGCTCTTGGTCTTTCTGAAAGTACTGACTCTGGACGCGCTGGGTGATGGTCATACCAGTATCGATGGAGGTGTAATAGATAGGAATGCCGTGGGGCGGACCGTGCTAGTGCGGATGGTGATGTCACTTGGATGACAAATGCAAGAATGAGCAAGATGCAGTCGCCGACAGATTTCATCGGATGGACCGTTCACAACATTGAATTGCCGATTGCAGTTGGGACATGGAGCGCAGAGACGGTCGATGCGGTGACTTGGACTTGCAAGATCATAGAGCGGGCGGTGCGGGGCCTGCACAATTGGCCTACAGTGGAAACTTGTATTCCTATTGACAGTTTCCAGGCGAAAATCCAGGTTCGGCTGATTGGATATTATTTGACCCCGGATATTCGACTGGTGAGATTGCCGAATTTTGGGTCGTCAATTGAGCCTCACCAAAACGCGAGCCCTCTGGCGAGTCGCCTAACAGCTCGATAACTTCGTGCAGCGACGCAAATCCTGGCCCGCATTTGCTCGAACATGTGCCACATAATCGGCGACCAAATCTGTTTTTGCGGCTCGGTGACCACCAATTCAATGTTCACTGACGGCGGCCAGGCCCTACTCAGCGACTGGTAATCAATTTCGTGGGAGCTGGTGCTTGGGGGCATGTTCCCGATCCTTGACGTATTTA